CTAAACCTTTATGTATAAGGAAGAATCCAAAGTCCTCTGTTGTTGACTTTGGGTGATGGTTGTGGAATTCTTTTCCATTTGGTTGCATGAGAGGTATGCGTTCCATAAAAATTTATTTTTGTTGTTAGTGGTTATCAGTTCTTCAAGTACAAATATGTAAGCGCAGATGTGATTGGAACACAGGATCTGGTTGAACAGAGGTGTTCAGAGATGACAACACCTGCTCCTCCTGGTGAGGAGGGACGCAGGCGGCGCCTGGCGACTGCGGACCAGACAAACGACACTACTCCTGGATGGGGCGGACTCGGAGCAGCTCACTCCTCTGTTCCGCTGCCCTCACTGGAATCGCATGGCACTTTCCACCAGGTGTGCTTATTTTTATTGATTTTTTGATTGTCAACAGTTTTGTTCACTTTTTACAAAGATTAAAGTTGTCAATCTTAAAAGAAATATTTTGAGCCCTGTTTTCAGAACCCTTAGGCTGAAACTCATCATGTTGAAAAACTCCAGCAAAACAGTCTCTAGATATTACTGGAGAATATTAACTGGGCATTCAACTGGCCGTGTTGCAGTGTGCTTGTGTTGTGTTCCAGTCGGGGGTTAAACTCCAGGGAAAGGTGCATGCTCTGTGTGGGAACCTATCCAAGAACTACCGGGACGTGACATGCCACCCAGCTCCTGATGCATTTAATCCGTGCGAGGACCTCATGGGCAACTGGGGGCTCCGATGTGCCGTGTGGCTTGTGGCCGTGGCCGCGCTGGTGGGCAACCTGTCTGTGCTACTGGTTCTGCTCAGCTCCCGCTTCCGCATGACCGTGGCCAAGTTCCTCATGTGCAACCTGGCACTTGCAGATCTCTGCATGGGCATATACCTGCTACTCATTGCCTGCATGGACGCTCATTCCATCGGCGCCTACTTCAATCACGCGATTGATTGGCAAAGTGGTTAGTGTCTCAGCCTGAATCACTCAGAGGGTTCATCACTTCATGTTAACCCTCCATTCCTCTAAGCAAGTGTTGGGATATATAATATATTCTCTTGTCATTTGATGACTCACAGAGAAACATTATTTTGTTCTTTCAGTGACAAACTGTGATCATAATGAACCTTACTTTCAGATAAATGCTTAATCTGTTCACAAAAACCATCATAATTTATGAACCAACCATAAAACATTTTTCGTTCCATGTTGTTACTTCAGATTTTATGAAACAGCAGTATGTATTTCAGACATCAGCATAATATGTGTTTTAGTTTTGTTAGATTTCACAAACTGTTGTAGTTATCAGGTTTAATGGTAATCGGCCTTTTGGGCAGGATACTAAAAATTATGGATATGTCACAGTCCACTCTAATGTTATGAAATGAGGACAGTAACTTAAAGAGGGGAACGCTCGAGACACACTCTAGTGTATTTATGGTGCTGTAGGTGCTGGCTGCCAGGTGGCAGGGTTCCTCACTGTCTTCGCCAGTGAATTGTCCATCTTCACGCTGACTGTAATCACTAGCGAGCGCTGGTACACCATTACATATGCCATTCACCTTAACAAAAGGCTTAAAATCAGCACAGCGGGCAAGATTATGGCAGTGGGCTGGGTGTATGCAGCTACCATGGCTGCCCTGCCTCTGCTTGGCATCAGTGGGTACGCCAAAACGAGGTGTGTTGTAGGTTTCTCATCGAGTAATGGAGTCAAACTTAGTACAGGGCTAAAATCATGGCAGTTGTTGTCGTCGATTACTTCTGCTACTTTTCTGTTCCTTGTAAATGGTTATACTACTGCTTTATCCAGGCTGTTGTTGTGGTAGGCGCACATGATTTCTGGTGATCCTACCATATCCTGTCTCTAGCTATGTAGTGGCTCAGTTCATTGTCATATTCACTGAAATTCACTGTTTCATGTACAATTTACCTAAGCACCATGTTCTAATCAGTACATAATTACAATTGTTATGGTAACTCTTTGTTCAATGCAAAACATCAGTGATGGGGCCGCATGAAACAAAAATAAATATGCCTTTACCAATACTCTTTTGCGTGACTGTAGAGCACAGAGCTGTCTCACGAAGAAAAATTTAAGAACACATGACTTGTGAAATGAAAAGTTAAAGTTGTTTAAATATGTTTTATTTATGAATACTTCTACTTTAAAATTAACAGGTAAAGAAATGTCTCAACATATACTGTGTGTGTTGCTTGTACTGAATAGTCTGCAAAATGGAGACAAATTCACAGCTGAACATTTGAAACTGTGCTGTTCTCTCATCGCCCAGTTTCTGATAAACAAATGAATCAGTAAAGAAGAAAGGAAGTAATGTTTAAAATGTCTTGATACTTATAATTAGTACTGTTAATATCTTTATAGAATCTATCTGAATCGCCTAGGATGCCGATACACCAAGGTGCATAGAACAGACACAGAAACTCTACGAATTCCGGTACATACTGCGGCCTTCGAGTTTTCTTAGGTTCCTGTTGAGACCAGTGATGCTCATGCTTGTTTATTGACAGTATCTGCTTGCCAATGGAGAACCAGGATCCTGCTGACCTGGCTTACTTGGTGACACTCCTCTCCTTCAATGGACTGGCCTTCTGGGTGATCTGTACGTGTTATGGACGCATGTACTGCTCCATCAGAGGCGGTCAGGACGCTGTGGCAGCTCTCACACGTTCTGACATGACAGTTGCAAAGCGCATGGCACTGCTTGTCTTCACTGACTTCGCATGCTGGGCGCCGATCGCATTCTTTGGCTTGACTGCTCTGGCATGGCACCCACTGATAGATGTGCCACACACAAAGATTCTCCTGGTGTTCTTTTACCCACTCAACTCATGTGCCAATCCGTACCTGTATGCCCTCCTTACGCAGCAGTACCAGCGAGATCTCTTTATTCTGCTAAGTCGCTATGGACTTTGTTCTCAGCGTGCTGCCAGGTTAGTTTGACTTTCTGGATATTTGTAGATACATAGATATAAACTAAAGAGGGTCTGTTAGCTTCTTGTACTTAATTCAGTGATTCTTGATCTTAAACCTTTTAAGTCAAACAATAGTTATTAAGTTCTGAAAGCTGTGAGAGTAAGTGTACCGTAACAATAACAAACACTGGCTGGTGCTGATGGATTGGCATGATGAGCCTTGCCAAAGATCAGCCTGCTTTCTTATGTGAATCGCAGCGTAGTACGTGTATTCAGTACACGACGTGTTGCATGCGACAGGTACAAGGGAGCAGCAGGGATGGGGCCGCAAGAATGCAACATCGTTGGAACGTGCACTGGTCGCGTCAGGCGATTGACCGGAAGCAGACCCAATCACCGGGGATCACTCTTTACCACGGTGACATCGATGGACAGCCCCGTCACACGACCTGGCTCACTCACAGCGGTCCCTGAGTCTGCCAAACAGGACACTACAGTAGAGTTGCTGCCCCTTAGCGATAATGAGAGACAGTGTCAGTCACCACAAGGCAGCTGCAGTGACAACAGAAACAGCGTGCCTTCCAACCACAAGAGCACGACTCTCCTCTAAACCAAACACCTTGCTCCGTTTCACTTACGTTCATACATCAGTGGTTTTATATGAAAGTAAATTAATAGTTACCAGTACTTGAACTTTAGGGTTTAATGGTTTAGTGGTACGCTGTTGCAGTGCATGGCCAGCTGGACTGCACATGACTGATATTGGTTAGACTGAAGGAATGTAAAGTTTGTCCAAGTACAGACTTGCGGGAGCAGACGAATAAAGCTCCATGCATTATACACATCAGCAGCAACTGAAAGTGAGTGATGAGTTTCCCACTTACACCACTTTGATGATGTGCCAAATGTTGGGACCAAACCGAGTTTAATACTAACCACTGATGTTTCCGGACATCTTTATGCAGGAGACGTTTGATGTATTTAGTGAGTGTTTTTCACCCTTTCAGTTTGATATGAAAACCAGATACAAAAGAGCATTCATTCTGTAGTCAGATACCAGTTTGAGACTGTCAGGGACCCAGTGTTCATCAGTTTACCTACCTATCCTCCTGTTTAACAGACATGATAAGAATAGTTCTTTGTGTTAAATAACTAATTAACTTGGGTTTGATTGACTTATCTGTTAGATATGTGTAACTTTCTTGTGTTATTTTATTTAGTCATTTAACTCTGTTATTATTGTTGGCTGCACTTTGGGTCCCAGCTCCTTAGCCCCAGAAGGAAGGCAGAAACTGTGATGTGTGCCAAAGAGAAGGAAATATATACAACTTCAGAATGAAATTATCGACCTAGTTCTCCTTTACTCTGCTTGTGAAGTCTACATGCCGATTTCCTTTAGTGTTTTGTCGGGCATCGCCAGATGGGAATTTAATTTACTTCTGTCCATGTCAAAGAGCACTAGCTGTTAGTCATGGGTTTCTCACCATGGAGGTGGCTAGTTTAAAGTGCTTTCAGGGCAGATAACTGCTGGGTACACCACATTAAGCAATGGCCTGCTGATTGACTGTTGTGCACTAAATAAAGTGCATGTTGCTGGGTTATCTTATGACCTTGCTAAAGCATTTCATTGTGTAAGTCATGAATTATTACTACCAAAACCAAATTTTTATGGAATTCGAAATATAGCCGATCAATGGCTTAAATCATACCTTCAGGGCAGAAAGCGTGTTAACTTATGAGGCATTGAATCTTCGGGTTCTATTACCAAATGGCTTAACCCAAAAATGTTTTCTTCAATTATAAACTAAACAACTAATAACGTTTGTGTTTTTATTCTGCTTGTTTGAATATTAATCATTACGATTTAAAAACGTACCAATAATGTGGATGCAAATGTAAAATAAGGTATAGCTACGTAACTACCAACTACATTTTCTTTCACCAGAAAGGTAAACAATGGCATCGCACCATACCCGACTGCCAACATTGGTTGCTACCAGAGATACCAACATACAGAGCAGTACAGCAACTTGCTCTGCTTTAAAATAATACAAATTCAATCAGATTTAGTGCATCGCTGCAATGAACAAGACCTAGAATACTGTGTTGTGCAAGTGGAATCTAAATTCTCCAACATATATGTCCTACCTATACAGGCTTATTCATAATTCCCTAACACATTACAAAAAATCGCTAGACTTGAATGGCGCAATGGATGGTAACATAGGACAATTGTGAACAACGTGACTGTTTTCAAAACTGCAGAAACAATATATTTGCTAGATTGAACAAATTGATTAAAACGAATAAACTCACATCACATAATCATAAAACGTTGTATACCATGCAGCGTTATCGAAATATATAAAATCATGTATAAAAACAAAACTGTTTAATTCCTTAGTTAAGTTATATTCAGTGGTAACTACCGAGAGATGGCACCTGTGTAATTGTAGTAATTTTCTGTGCCTGGATTAATCTCTGAATAATAGTAAGATGGTGGCATGAAATTGCTTATATAAAACTATGGCCGAACAAACTAGGGCTGCAACACCGGCGGAATCAACAGTAACCTTAGTGGAAAGTGAAGATGTTCTGCATCAGGTGAATATGTTATTTATATTTAAACCTATAGGTTTGTATGGGATTTAAATTTAATCAATGAGAAAGCCATTCTCATAAAGTGTAAAGGTGGCGACTGACTTGTAACATTTACTCGTAATGTAACATTCGCGGCGAGCATGTTACATTACACCACAACTGGTGAGGCGCATCGAATGCTCGTTTTGAACGCTCGGCTCGACTGTGCTCATGTGTGCTCCATTCATTTCATTCAATATGTCGGACGTGGAGGTTGTGTTATCTTTGTTTCATTTAATACGCTACTCTTATCTAAAGAACTCGTGAATGCTCGTTACGACGCCGCTCGACTGACTGACTGACTTGTAATGTAACACTCAAAGGGATTCGCGAAAAAACCGACAACACGATGGAGCGCCCGCGAGCGTGAGCAGCTCGCATCGAGCGGCTCCGTTCGCTGTCTTCACTTGTGTAATGCTCGATTTGTAACACGTTACATTACAGGCAAATGTTACAAGTCAGTCGCCACCTTAAGAGGTACATATCAAGTCTAATGATACTCTTCGTAAAGATAAAAATTTCTGTAGGCCTGTAAGAAAATTTGCCTTTGAGATAAATTAATGTGATTGTTCCTAACTTAAATGTCGCCACTTGTTCACACACTTTTAACCGTTTTTCAGGTGTTGGTTTTTCTGAAATTCGTTTTGAACCAAAACGATCATCATGTTTTCAATTTGTACAAAAGTTAAGGCATTAGGTCTTCCATTTGATCGGTGATAAAATACAGTACAAAAATAAAATAATCCACTAATTGAATGTTAAGGTCTTTAAAATAATGGGTCACAACATGGTGATGTAATGTTGCTGTTATTTGTGGATTAATGTGTAGTAGTAGTAGTAACAGTAACAAACACTTGTCTTCATCAGCTGCATTGTCCAAGCCCCTGCACTTGTCATGCTTTGTAGCTGATGTCCATTGAATTTACAGATGTGTTGCAAGCACACCTTTTTGATGCTGTCCTCAAGGGTGCATTATTTCCTGGCCTTGTCACAGTGCAGTAACAGCTGAACTTTACCATATTATAGAATCTCTAAAATTTCTGAAGTTTTTTAGTTTGAAATTAATGAGTTCTCTCTTTTTGGTTTAGTGATCAAACTCTGTTTCTCATTACATTTCAGGACGTCCGTACTGTGAGGCTAAGGCTCAGGAAGCCTGAGCCAAAAAAGAAAGTGCAATGGCAGTCAGGAACAGTTGATAATGAACACCTGAATAAGAAGAAATCAAAATGTGAGCATCTGTTACATACTTTTATTTGAGTAATAATAGTAGTAATAGTAAACCAGTTGCTGTGTTATGATTTTCCATGAAGAAACATTTGTTTCCCTTACCAGCACCCGTTTTTCTCGAGTCCCTTGCATGCCGGTGTTCAAGTCAAGTTATTTCCCCACCTCTTTGAAATGAAAGAAACTTAACAGAATTAAAAATAACATTCTATATTTTTCCTGGAATGATTGCATCTTGGGAGAACATTCTAATGTAAGTTTGTGGATAAGTGATTCATCTTCCAGTCATACAGCATCTTTGTAGGGTGTGTTCATGAAAGCTTTAATTTTGGAAGTTAAGCATGTGTTGACATACTGGCAAACAGATTAAAATCTCAGTGATACAGCATCACTTTAGGATGAATTTCTGAATGCCACAACTTTAAATATTTAAATTTCCCAGTTTCAGAAACTTGTGTTTTATTTATGGCACAGAGTATAATAGTAATTATGTTTTACCATTTTATACTTGAGACACTTTGATAAATATCATGAACAATACACAGGCTCTAGGTATCTGATCATCTGTAAGACATGTCTTATTGGGTTTCCTATATACATTGTGCAGAAATAGATGTGTTAGTAATAATTTTGAACATGTAACCTAAAGTCAGCTGTTTACTTGTACTTTGTTTAGGCTGCTGTCAGTATGAAAAACCTCATGCATTTGATGAGAGTTCATCATCTTCAGAAGAGGAATGTGAGAATTGTCATGGCCATGTTGAAAGGAAGAAAAAGAAGAGTAAAGAACCCCCAGGATCCACAGAGGCTTCAGCAGAACTCAGAACTTGGTGAGTTAAAAATGTTAATGTATGTTGTATGTCACTTTTGATAGTAATTTATTTGTTTTATAAATGCACTTTAACAGAGTATATTGTAGTTCCTGGATTGGACAGATTAGCTCATTGACATCAGGCCTGAAGATGCAAGATAGATATACGACTGTAAGACTACATAGTGCAACAACTGAGAAGACCATGATCTGAACACATTTCATTGTATTTCTGCACTTATCATAATCATAGAATCAGAATTGTTTTGCTTGATTTTGCCAAGCTAATTATGAATTTGAAAATAGTTTGGAGCGATAGCTTGCCTGTATAATGTAAACCAGTGGAATTACCAACACAGGAATTAAGGCAGCAAGCTGAAAATTACTGCTGCAGAGAAATAATGTTTATGCTTCCTTATCTGAAACCCCTTTGATCACTTTGCCTTTTACTTCTAATGGACATGGAACACAATTTTGTGTCCCTGCATTAATTATGTTGATTGTATTTTTAGATCATTTCCCATTGTAGTGTATCTATTGGCAATTTCACATGGTTGTAACTCCAAAATAAGGATATGTAAAATATGGGAGGTGGTCTGAAAATGAGATTGAGATCTTGTAGTGAAATCGTAATCTATAATCTTTGTGATATCAACTTTATCAGCATAAACTCAGGTTGTTACTGTTTTATCCTCCGTGAACTGTTCGGTAAATACAGAATGATGTTGAAATCTTTCCAGGCTGAAGGCATTTCACCATAATATTCTGACATTCAGTGGAGCAGTTCATGTTAATATTTCTAATCATAATGGCAAGTGACTGCCATATTCTCTATTTATGTAAGCTCCATATATAGTACTATGAGAACTGTGAGGGCATTTTAGACACTTTCACATCTGAAAGTTGCTAAGCGCTGCTTTTAGGTTCACCCTGTCTGTTGTTCATAACTTGATAATGACTGAAATGTTATGTTGGCGAGTCACACTGAAAGTTTTTCATGCAGTGCGGTTCTTGTTAAAATCAGACGACAACAGTTGGCAGTTTACATGAAGACCCATGTGCATTTCTGCACATGGAAGTGACGGTTGAGAATCCGCAGGTTGCCTTCTATTCAGCTTATGTCTTGTTTGGTGGAACCAAATCAAGCCTTTGTTGCCATGGTTACCTTCAATCCAGACAGTTCTGACATTACTGCAGGCCACTGGACAAATTTTGTAAACGTGTTATAATCGTTATCCTGTGTGTGCATGTCGTATGTTTTTAAATATCTCCAAGATAACTTTTGTATATCTGCCATTAATTGTGTCTATTTGTAATGTCAAACAAGATTATTTTTTATATGAATCAGTCTTTGAGGATATCACATACGATTGTGTAAATGAAAGTGACTAAGTTATAAGACCATTTAGGTGCATCTCCATTAGTACCGAATACTAACGAGGCCCACGTATCATGTTCAGGGATAGCTGTAGTCTCATTTGATTGGTACTGGAGTTGAGACGTGTCAGTAAAATATATATGTGAGATGTAACTCAGCTATTTCAATGAAAAGTATGATTTTCTTTTCTTTTACAGAGGCTTCAACACCAAATTAAATGTTCTTCCTTATTTGATGAGAAAACTACTTGGTCATGCCATGTAATATGCATATCGTTATTGTAATATTTTATGGTTAAAGTTAATTAGACAGGTCTTAAGTCGATGTTCAAACATAAGGCGTTTTATACATGTAAAGAAAATTACATTTAATTTGATTTTGTTTTAATGTGACTGCATTGGTGTTATACCTGAGATAATGGTACTACTCAAGTGATGCACCAAATAATATCTGTGTAAAGTACGAGACATATAATATGAATGAATTGTTGTTATTCATAATTAGAAACTGAGGTTACTGGAAAAGTTTGAATTACTATTTCGCCCTCTCTCACCAAACATACAGAAAGGTTTATGGCTACTTATAAGAAATTGTTTCCTATTTAAATGCACATTTCGTGTCCATGTATTCACGTTTACCCTTTTTTCATCAAGGTAGGGAAGGGGTGAGGGGGCAGAGTTACACGTGTCCTCAGACCTCTGCATTGGTCGAAGGTGAGTAGTCACTTCAAATAGCTTTTCCAGTAGGAACAGAAATGGGTGCAGTTGTGATGAGGAAAGTTCACAGTTTTCCTGGCATAGATGAAATCCCTAACCAGGCACCTTAGTTTCTGAGCTGTTGTGATGTATGTGGCGTGTACATGAACTGTATTATGTGGTGTGTCACTTGAGTTGTCTCCTCACTTTGTAGGTGACATGGTAGTGAATAAGTTCACTGGTCTACATTTGGATTCTTAATTTATATATGACACATGCCCTGAGTCCTTTCTTCTAGCAGGAAGATCTGTTTTATTAGCACAGGTTAATTATATTATATGAATCATTGGGGATCATTGCACATTACATTGTAGTAAAGCCTCATTCAGTCCAAGGAAAATTTATAAATACATTCCATAACTTTCTCTCCCAGAAACAAGTCCTTTGATTTTGTATTGTGATCGGACATCCATTTACCAAGTTTTACTCTGCTAGATTGTACTGTCAGCTTGATGACCTTTGTATGCCTGTCTCCCTCAACATTATAGTTGTGATTGAACTTCTCTGCACATTTAATATCAGTTCTGGTACGTGTTGAATGTATTTATGATTAGTTAATTTTGCAGCGTGGTATGTGAATAAGTGCAGTCTCTGTTATACATATATACCAAGTATTCTGTCGATATTTTACATTGTAATGACACTGTATGTAGAAGGAAGAAATGCACTCGGTAACTGCCATTAGGCTGGTACGCAATACAGAACATTGATCATTCTATTTTTATCATCGGAATACATTTAAGAATTTGTTTCTAGATCCTAATTTAATAATTGCTTAGCCCTTCAAACTCAGAAATGTAGTCTTAGTGAAGCTGTCATTCTAACATCTGTGTTAGAGAATTTTATTTGGGCATTGGCTGTAGTTTGTTTTATAAAGTACATGCTGATAAAATGTGTAATTGGTATTATATACTCTAAAAGGACAGAATAATGATCCATCGGCTACATTGGCCACCTTGTGTCTAGAAAAAGTTGATGAGTTAACTTACTACAGCCTGTTGGTAGTTTTTGCCAATTATCGCACAGATTTGCTTTTTAAGGGGTGAATCAGTACATGTGGATGACTATATTGACAAATGTAAAACAGACTAAAAATGTTCAAAAAAAAAGACCTCGATATGTATGAATTAAGTAAATGAGATGATCTAGTTGGTCTTGGCTCTTGCTGCTGTGTTGATTGAAATTTAGTTTGGAGTGCCATTTTCCTTTATGGTAGTTTTGAAGATTTAATAATAAGCTTGAATTGTGAAGTAATCATTGTTTCAGTAGATCAGTGACAATTTGCAGAACTGAAGACATCTGACTAAAATGATGAGCTATTTGTAAGAAGGTGGATAAGCATAATGTAAAGCAGTTGTTGTTAAATGTGTTGTTCAGTGAGGTTAGAGTTTGAAGCCACATTTAGTTCACAGGAATTTGTAATGTGATGTGGGTATTACAAATCAGTAATAGTTCTGTTCCTGTATGCCACATTGGTTTCATTTCAAAATGTTGACTAAGGATTGTCATTAATGTTTCCTTAAAAAGTCCAGCATTCACTGCCATGTAAGAGAGATGGTACTCCTTCTGAGATTTATTACGCAGTGTGCAGTTAATTGTTCCTCATAAATAATTGAACCTTTTATGCAGATATTCCACATTACTGTAAGAAAAGGAAGCATTCAAATGAGCTGCTACATCACAAACAGGAGGATACTGTTCCCTTGTAAGGCATTCCTATGCAGAATGATCACAGCCCAAACTTCTGTACAGAAGTGTTAAGAATTAACAGTACCTGTTATAAAAATGACATATTTTTGCAAAAACGTGTTTTTAAATTAATTTAGTGTTTTTCCTTGATGTCTGTACATGGGTGGGGAGGACAATATTAAGTTTGAACTTAAATAAATGGGGTGTGGACTGGCACGTTTATACACAGTAATGAACCTTTGGGTTAGAAATTTCTTGACTAGCTGAGTGACAATCAGCTTCCCAAGAAAGACTCTGTTTCATGAGTTACATTTTTTGTTCACCTCATTATTCATTATATATTTTTTTCCCCTGTGTTGTAATTTTAAATTACACTGAATTTTTCACTTGGTCATCAGCCCTCAGGAAAGGTTGTAATTCAGAAGAAAAGTGTCATCTGCCTGCCCATACTTAACTTAGTGAAGACTCCATAAGAAGTTCTAAATCGTCAGTTCACGAAAGCAAGTACCTGTGGAAAGTGTCAAGCCTCAAGTAGCTGAGGAAGGCAACAGTTTCCAAGCACCATCCCTCCTTCCCAGCTTCATAATCATCAGCGTGTGGAAGTATGCAAAATTACAACTTGAAGGTGAGTTGCTGGCATTACATTCTGTTCCCATTACTTCCATGAAAATTATGGAGATTGCATGGTAAGACAAGGATGTATAATTTTTCTAATGGACAATTTAATCTAAAAATATGCAGTTGGTTGTTACTTATGTCACTGTATTTGCTACCATCTGAACTGAGACCAGCCAATACCGAAGTTCCTGTTGTGTAGATTTGCAGCTTATGAGTGGTCAGAGATATGCTGTCATTTCAGTTATGTTTTTCAGCATAAAACATGCTTTTAATTATCTGCCATCATGTTTAGACAGTCTTGTTGTTTAATATAATGCTTTAATTAGGTCAAAGCTAGAGTATGCCTTGGTCATATAACAGTAATTCATGTAGTTACGGGATCTCGTCAGTTGTCCTCGGCAAACTAAAAAGTAGACGGAAGTCATGTGGTTGTAATGTTACTTTCAATTTTTATACAAATTATCATAATGAATATGATCTCCTTGGAAACCTGCAGTATATTATTGATCATAAGAAATTAAACAGCGCAGTATCCGAGTGCTTTCAGTCTTTCATTCTAAGTATCATGAAAATCAGTTTGTGGGGAAATTCTTGAATTTCTGCCTGTCACTTTTCACAGAGTCTCTTCACTCAAAGAAGATGTTTCAGACCAGTGTAGCCATCATTAGGTTTGGTTCCCTGCTTCTGTATCACTGCACTAAGGATTTCCTCCCCTGTGTCCAGAAATAATGATGATACTAAAACATTTATAATTTTGTTACTTTGGTTAAAAGTTACAACGATTATCAAAATGCTTTTTAAATTGTTCTTAGCTTAGCCTGGTGAGTGTCATTGTGTTTCCTTCGAGTTGCAAGTGTTGAGGCGTGTCGTTCAGAATGATGTGGGATATGGTTCATGTTTGGGGAATACAGAAATATTGGTTGAAACATACAAAACTGCATTTTCATATACAGTTTATTGTTATTCTTAATGCGGAAGATAACGTGGAAAACGGGCAGCGTCACCAAATCGATGATACCTCGTTCAACGTGCTTCTAACATATTAATAACCACCTAGCACACATGTATTTTTGACCTGTCCCTTGCATTACATTTGCCATTCTTAAAATAAACAGGATGTTAATGCACAAGCATACTTCCTGCATGTGAACGGAACTGATGACTTAGACAGTTTTCTGCAGTTTGTAATATCTGTAAATTAGGTGCCATTAATGAGTAACTACACAGAAATGCTACTTCAAGGTAACACCTGAAGCGATAACAAAGAACATCAAAATGTGAATGGTATATGCATCAGTGATTACTAATTTCACATTTAAAAATCCTCTCATTGTTTCTGATGCCATGCTGTTTACTTTAACCTTTGCAAGAAGCACTCTAACGAACTGCAAGATGTCGCAATACTTTCCTCTTCAGCTGTAAACTTGTGACAAACATACAGTTGACAGAAATGCGTGTACCTGGCATTAATAGTGTAAAAATGTAATGTTCTCCTATAATATCATTCACTTGCACTTAATTAATGAATACCTCATGCTATACATTTGTTAGTGATTTCACAAATTACATTTCCTGCCAGTTAATTAATGTTTTACCGTGAACCACGCAGGCAGGATTTAGCTTCACTTTCTGCTTCTGAACCCTTTGGGTATAGCTCATCTCTCAAATAATTGGAATTTCAGGCACATATATGAACAGACAGTACTTACTGTGAAGTATCATGATTAATGGAAATGTACTTTCATTTTCTTTTGTTACATCAGCATCCTGCATCATAATTTTATAGTCAAAATGTTATTCTTATCGTCTCATTGACTTCACAATATTTCAATAAGGTATTCGTATTCTGTATTCTCTCAACGCACCGATGCTGAATTTTTACCATGAATAATATATCATTCAGCGTAAACATGGTATGGAGTAATAAAGTCTTGTTACTGGATGACAGCAACACTGTCCCAGAATGAATGACATTTTAAGAATAGGCATCAGATTTTTAGGTTTCTAATTTTCATCCCGTTTGACTCTTAAACAGCAACAAGTGAGGAGGAGCCATTACCAGTAACCCCGGGTTAATCAAGGCCACATACCTTGATGAGAGAACCATTGCATTTGAGGAATAATGTTTTATGTTATCATACATCCAGTTTCATATTATCAAATTTTAACCTAACTGAAAATAAATACAATTAGTCATATACTTACAAGAACAAATGTTCCATTTTACATCAAAAACTATTTTCTTCAAGACAATATATGAGTAGGTATCAGTTTTTAAACTGTATTCATTACTCGGCCTAAAGGAGGGATGTTTGATCTGTGGCTGCATCTTGTTTTGCGCCTTACTTCCATTCCCCTAGTTGCTTTCCTCAAGTCTCAGTTCTTTAACTTTGCCTTTGGATCTCCATACCTTCACTGTATAGTCATCAGAAGTGGTAACGAGCATCTCAGGATCGTGAGGGTTGAACGCTACTGAGTTGACAACATCAATATGTGGGAATTTGGCAAGACATACTCCATAGTGACGATCCCAGAGATATCCATGTTTGTCTTCTGCTCCACTAAAGAACATGCAACGTAAAAATACATTGTTTGTGAAGATCCCTCCTCCCCTACATAGCTATTAAATGTAGTTTTTTGTCTCATTTCCAGGCAACTGATCGTAAAGGTGAATGTCTGAGACAGCACAGTGTGAGAATGTCACTTTTGTGCTGAGTTACGTAACCATAGGTAACCCAAATACCTGGCATTCTTCTTCCACTGTCACATCTGTGGACCTGGTATTTTGACCAATAGGAAATTATCCTTATCTTAGATTACATTTAAAATTCATCACTGTACCTTGCGACATATTCGTTGCATACATCTAAGAAGATGAAGAAACATTCGTTGGTTGGAGTGTATGCCTTGTGGGCCCGGAGCATTGTTCCTACTTCCTTGAGTGTAACCAGATCGATGACATGGATATCAATCTCCTGAGCAATAGGGGGTGGGTCAAGAGGATTTTTTATCATGTAACCTCTTGGCCACGGACGACTATTTACATACAGGTACCTGTTTTGTGAACACAGTGTACATATGTTACAGTAATTATGCACCATATCTGTTAAAAGGCATGCATAATACTTTTCCATATCTTTCTTTTGATCAGTAATGTTAATGTACTACATGTTACCACTTCCAAAAATATACTTCTACAAACGTCCTCTAATAAAATATACTGACGCTGCAGAGACTGGTGAAGTGAGCAGGGACTGTGAAATTAGAGGCAAATGCTGCCTGTTGTGACAGTCCACATCACACCCAGAATTGTGTGATGCTCTGGCACTAGGGTCCAAGCAAATAAAAATTTGATGTGACATCAAACATTTTAACTAAATTTATTCTTAACTAAAGATCACACCATACAGACATACAGGGTGTGGAAGTATAGCTTCACGCATTTTTCATCTTCGCACTAGACAGAGGTGATCACAATCTAATCAGCCTTCAACTGACCCTAACTCATTAAAGAGAGAAATGAAAATAATAAGAGCCTGTGCCACAAAATTAGTCAAAAGACCCCAACATTTTTGTGTGTTTATCAGAAGAATATTCAGAAAGCATCAACATACCTGTGATCTGGAGAAAGTCCCATGCCTACAATATGACCGTGAAGGTCGATGAGATGATCAACTTTGTCAAACTTGTTCGCAACTTCTTCATATACCAACCAGTTGGGCTCTGGATGTGGAAGTCCAGCAT